CAGACTGAATTTTTCCCCACAAAAGGGCTTTATTACAGAAATAGTCCTCAATTTCATCAGCTGTCCAGGTGGCTGGTCTCAGACAATCCTGCAGTCAAAGAAGCCGGATGTGGAGGTCCTGGGCTGGCGTGGTTACACAAGGTCTGTGGTTGTGAGGCTTTGGCGGTGGCTTATGGTAGAGAAATGAATATTCAATTCTCTGGCAACAGCTCTGGTGGACATTCCTGCAGTCAGCATGACAACTGCACGCTCTCTCAAAACTTGAGACATCTGTGGCATTGTGGTATGTGACAAAACTGCACATTTTAGAGTGGCCTTTTATTGTCCCCAGCACAAGGTGCACCTGTGTAATGATCATGCTGTTTAATCAGCTTCTTGATATGCCACACCTGTCAGGTGGATGGATTATCTTGGCAAATGAGAAATGCTCACTAACAGGGATGTAAACAAATTTGTGCACACAATTTGAGAGAAATAAACTTTTTGTGCGTATGGAAAATTTTGGGGATCTTTTATTTCAGCTCATGAAACATAGGACCAACACTTTACATGTTGCGTTTATATTTTTGTTCAGTATAGTACACTATTTTTTACCAGGGCCCATAGGGAATAAGATGCCATTTGAAACCCAGACTTGCAGTTCTTCACACCCTCAAACCGGTGAGCCTGGCACCTACTACCATACCCCTTTCAAAGGCACTTAAATCTGTTGTCGTGCCCATTCACCCTCTGAATGGCACACATGCTGTATTGCTTGTTGCTGCAATCATAGCCAATATCTACACAGACACGCACACAAACAAACACGCACACATGCACACACACAGTGTTGTCCTCCCTGTATTTGTATGCTAATGCAGCTTTTAAACGGACCTGCTGAAGAAATGGATTTCCCTGATGTTGACAGTGATTCTGTTATTACAGTAGCTTTAGGAGGAGATGCCTGGCCAAAGACTACCTCACCAGGTCAAAAACCTCCTGTAGACTCCCTGTAGACTACCTCACCAGGCCAAAGACTCCCTGTAGACTACCTCACCAGGCCAAAGACTCCCTGTAGACTACCTCACCAGGCCAAAGACTTCCTGTAGACTACCTCACCAGGCCAAAGACTTCCTGTAGACTACCTCACCAGGCCAAAGACTCCCTGTAGACTATCTCAACTTGTAAGCTATGAGGAAAGTACAGTGAAGCACAGAGTTGTAGTGTGTTTTCTCTTGGTTTAAACCAGTGTGTTGGCTTGGCTGTAGTAGAGACCTTCAGTACTAGTTGTATGATATACTAGTTGTAAGGCCCCGTGTAGCTCAGTTGGTAGAGCATGGCGCTTGCAACGCCAGGGTTGTGGGTTCGATCCCCACGGGGGGCCAGTTTGAAAAAAATGTATGCACTCACTAACTGTAAGTCGCTCTGGATAAGAGCGTCTGCTAAATGACACAAATGTAAATGTAAATAAGCTCCTCTGAGCCTGGTTCCTCTCTAGGTTTCTTCCTAGGTTTCTGCCTTCTAGGGAGTTTTTCCTAGCCTCTGCATTGCTTGCTCTTTTGGGGTTTTCGGCTGGGTATCTGTAAAGCACTTTGTGACAACTGTTGATGTAAAAAGGTGTCAAGCCCTGGCTCTGGGGACTCTTATATGTTGAGCCAGGGTGTGGATTTTCTATGTGTCATTTTCTATGTTTTGTTCTAGTTCATGTATTTCTATGTTGGCCAGGGTGGTTCCCAATCAGAGGCAGCTGTTGCTTGTTGTCTCTGATTGGGGACCATACTTAGGCAGCCTGTTTGGCACTGTTCATTGTGGGATCTTGTTCCGTAAGGTTTGTTTTGGTGTGTTAACCTACGACTTCACGTATCGTTTGGTTTATTGTTGTTTTGTTCGTGTGTACACTAGAAATAAAAGATGTACGCTTACCACGCTGCGCCTTGGTCCGCTGTTTATAACGAACGTGACAAAAGGGCTTTATTATATACATTTTATTGATTGATTGATTGATTGGTTGATTGACTGATTGATTGACTGATTGATTGACCAGTTGTAGGGTATAAGCTGTCACTGTCATCAACATGTCCTCTCTTACGGCTGTGCTAAGATCATGAGGAATTCCTAAGTTTGGGTATAAATAATTTTAATGACCATTGATACAGTTCCCAGATCATAGATTACACCTTTAATGTCATTTGTTCTGGATTCTCTGGGTGAAAACAGGCGAGTGATTTAGTTGAAATAGCAGCCTGCTATGTTGGTATATTGGTTTTCTCAATTCACCCTCCGTTTAACTTAAAGTATGACCTAATAACTTCTGCTATGTTGGGTAATTGGAGTCTTTGGCAGCAAGGATTGTTTAAATTAAATTAATTTCTTCAAATTGGCCTGTTTTCTAGTCTGAACGGAGAAGGAGGGGGGAGGGACAATTGGGTTTAAAGAGGCATTATTTACAAGCGGTATTCACTTTCAGGGTTTAATTGTTAACGAATCAGCGCTGGCTAATTAATTCAATTAATTGTGCCTGGAAGAATGTGGGGTATTCAATCTGGGATGCCCCAGAAATGTGGCTATGTATCAAAGGATGGGTTTTAGATCCATCCTACAGAGAGAGAGAGAGAGAGCGAGCATGAGATGATAAGAAGAGAGAGAGAGAGAGACGAGAGAAGCGAGAGAGAGGAGAGAGAGAGATCGAGGAGAGAGAGAGAGAGCTAGAGAGAGAGAGAGGCGAGGAAGAGCCGATGAGATCGCAATATGTGAAAGAGAAGCAGAGGGAGGAAAGGAGGGAGAGAAAGGAGGGGGGGGACAGATGGCAGGGAGGGAAGGAAAAATGGAGACAGAGAAATAGATGAGAAAGAAAGAAAGATTGTAAAGCCTTGTTCACACTGCAGGCCTTAACGCTCAAATCCGTTTTGGACTATGGACTGTACAAACAGCAAGTTACAAGTGACCAAATCGGATTTGTGTGTGTTCTTTGTTCTTTCTTTTATTTTGTCATTTAGCAGACGCTCTTATCCAGAGCGACTTACAGGAGCAATTAGGGTTAAGTGCCTTGCTCAAGGGCACACCGACAGATTTTTCACCTAGTTGGCTCGGGGATTAGAACCAGCGACCTTTCGGTTACTGGCACAACGCTCTTAACCACTAAGCTACCTGCCGCCCTGTTCAGACAGCAGTCATTTGCTGACATGGCTACGCTAGTTGTCATAGTAACGACGGGTGTGTGCGCAGTGGTGTAGGCTGATTGGTGGTAGTGGTGCTCGTTTTTCCTATCACTGAGAAGTTATGTAGCAAGCTAAGGTGACAACAATGCCTGCCATGGACATTTCCCAGTTGCTTTGAATGTTCAAAATCATGGTGTAAGAACACTTTTAAAGCCTCAAAGGATAAGATGAGTCAACTTTCAAAACAAATCCTTTTTGGCTAGCCACAGCAGTGAACTAAATAGCTAGGTAGCCGTTTAGCTTTCTAGCACATTCACTATTTTGTTCGTAAACAATTAACAAGCTAGTTAGCTACCACATGTTCTTGTCAAACTGTCAACAGAGTAGTTTGCAAGCAACAATATATGCCGAATAACAGTCTAAAGACCACTTGCGGGCAAATAAATCAGATTTGACCGTTCAGACAAGTCACATGCCAGGAATCAGATTTGTATCTGACTTCAAACCACCTACGAAGGTGGTTTGAAATGTGGCTTGAAATATCCGATTCCATGTGCTTTTTGGCTGTTCAGACTGCAGGAAAAAGGACAGATTCTAATCGGATATGCAAATAAATGGGATTGGAGTCACTTTAAACTGCCAATGAGAACACGGCTTAAGAGAGAGATCGCAAAATAGTGTGATGAGAGAGAGAGAGAGAGAAAGAGAGAAAGAGAGAGAGAGAGAGAGAGAGAGAGAGAGAGAGAGAGAGAGAGAGAGAGAGAGAGAAAGAGAGAAAGAGAGAGAGAGAGAGAGAGAGAGAGAGCGAGAGAGAGCGAGAGAGTCATATGGTGGAGTTCAGAGGGCTGTTTATATAGACAAGCTGATGAATTCTCATGATGTACGTCGAACGACGGAGAGGAGAGCAGCGTCTGCATCCCAAATGGCACTCTATTCCCTAAGTAGTGCATAACTTTTGACCAGGGCCCTATATAGGGAATAGGGTGCCATTTGGGACACACCTAGTGAAACCTGAATTAAAAGTAGTGACCTTTTCCCAACAGCATTAGTTTAACCTCTCCCCCCCACCCACCCACCGTCTGCTCCAGACCTGTAATGGGATGATGGCTACGGCTATTAGCATGATGAAATATACAAATAAGTGACTTTAGCTGAGCGCCTGAGCCCCTCTCGAGTGCGGGGGCTCCCCGGCTGCTGTTTCTGTCCATCTTTGATGGTGCAGTTGGCTATGGAAACAATTTAATCTCTTTAATAGAATCTTATAGCACAGACACACAAACACAGACACACACACAAAGACACACACACACAAAGACACACACACACACACAAAGGAGATTATCCTGCTGATAAGAGGAAGGCCATACAGCCTTTGTGGTGAAGGAGCTGAATTCCCAATATGTAGGGTGGGTGGCATTCCATTTTGGGGAACTTTGGACTCTGGAGGTCATCACTGATCCTAGTTTGTTTACTTGATTATAACTGGGTTATTTACATTCCTAATACTTATATAACTTGTGTGTATGATGTAATAATAATAATAATAAAATATTCCATTTAGCAGTCGCTTTTAGCTAAAGCAACGTACAGTCAGATGTGCATACATTTTACTTATGAATGGTCCCGGGAATCGAACCCACAACCCATGCTCTACCAACTGAGCTACATGTGGGATCTTGAAGCCAAGGTTGTGGGACGTAAGATGCCAACCAAACAGAGAATAGATATTATGTAGACTAGCTCATGATTAAGCAACCTGAGATTGTTGTGATATGTAGTATCAGGTTAATGTAGGATGTTGGGATGTAGGATCTTGGGCTGTAGGATGTTGGGCTGTAGTATGTTGGGCTGTAGGGTGTTGGGCTATAGGATGTTGGGCTGTAGGATGTAGGGTGTTGGGCTGTAGGGTGTTGGGCTGTAGGGTGTTGGGCTGTAGGGTGTTGGGCTATAGGATGTTGGGCTGTAGGATGTTGGGATGCAGGGTGTTGGGCTGTAGTATGTTGAGGTGTAGGGTGTTGGGCTGTAGGGTGTTGGGCTGTAGGATGTTGGGATGTAGGAGGTTGGGATGTAGCGCTGTAGAATGTTGGGCTGTAGGATGTTGGGCTGTAGGATGTTGGGATGTAGGATGTTGCGCTGTAGGATGTTGGGCTGTAGGATGTTGGGATGTAGGATAATGGGATGTAGGATGTTGCGCTGTAGGATGTTGGGATGTAGGATAATGGGATGTAGGATGTTGCGCTGTAGGATGTTGGGATGTAGGATGCTGCGCTGTAGGATGTTGGATGTTGGGATGTAGGCTGTTGCGCTGTAGGATGTTGGGCTGTAGGGATGTAGGATGTTGGGCTGTAGGATGTTGGGCTGTAGAATGTTGGGCTGTAGGATAATGGGATGTAGGATGTTGCGCTGTAGGATGTTGGGATGTAGGATAATGGGATGTAGGATGTTGCGCTGTAGGATGTTGGGCTGTAGGATGTTGGGCTGTAGGATGTTGCGCTGTAGGATGTTGCGCTGTAGGATGTTGGGATTTAGAAGAAACAAAACAAGTAGTAGAAGAATGTGTCTCAGTCAGTGGAAGATGGCGCTTGCAAAACCAAAGGTTGTGGGTTCAATTCCCACTGGGGTCACCAATACGTAAAATGTATGCACGCATGACTGTAAGTCGCTTTGGATAAAGCGTCTACTAGGTGGCATATATTATAGGATGTTGGGATGTAGGATGTTGGGATGTAGGATAATGGGATGTAGGATGTTGCGCTGTAGGATGTTGGGATGTAGGATAATGGGATGTAGGATGTTGCGCTGTAGGATGTTGGAATGTAGGATGTTGCGCTGTAGGATGTTGGGATGTAGGATGTTGGGATGTAGGATGTTGCGCTGTAGGATGTTGGGCTGTAGGGATGTAGGATGTTGGGCTGTAGGATGTTGGGCTGTAGGATGTTGGGATGTAGTATAATGGGATGTAGGATGTTGCGCTGTAGGATGTTGGGATGTAGGATAATGGGATGTAGAATGTTGCGCTGTAGAGTGTTGGGATGTAGGATGTTGCGCTGTAGAGTGTTGGGCTGTAGGATGTTGGGCTGTAGGATGTTGGGCTGTAGGATGTTGGGCTGTAGGATGTTGCGCTGTAGGATGTTGCGCTGTAGAATGTTGGGATTTAGAAGAAACAAAACAAGTAGTAGAAGAATGTGTCTCAGTCAGTGGAAGATGGCGCTTGCAAAACCAAAGGTTGTGGGTTCAATTCCCACTGGGGTCACCAATACGTAAAATGTATGCACGCATGACTGTAAGTCGCTTTGGATAAAGCGTCTACTAGGTGGCATATATTATTCTTATATTAATATTAGGTATCCTTACTTGATTGATAACGGATGAGAGTTATAATGAAGTTATGAACCAACAACTGTCAAATTACTGCACATTCAGCAACACTCACTGCAATCACATTATCTGGCATTTTATTTTATTTTCCATCGCCACGTAGCCTGACGACGCCCGCCCGACAACTTTTAGAACTATAAATTTGATTTTCCTAAGCTTTCATTTCCAACAGTGCGTCATATCCTCTGGAACGGCTGAGTAGAGAAGCAGAATCATAAGACAAAGGAAAGAGGAAAAAGTGAGCGTCACAAACGGCATGCTATTCCCTATATAGTGCACTGTAGTGCTATGTGGGCACTGTTAAAAAGTAGTGTATTATAGGGAATAGTGTGCTATTTGGGTAGGGAATCGTGTGCTATTTGGGACACAAACAAAATTGTAAACTTCCAATCATAAAATCGGCACTGGTGGTGGTTTATAAATGTTCACCTATTTGTAGCAATGTGTTAGCCATTACCTAGACGAGCTGGGAAGACATTACAGAAAACCTTGCCACGGCAGGCCAGTAACCCAAGTACATCATCAGCATTTCTGCAACCTCACACACACAGCACTATGTCACACAGACACACGCACACACACTGACTTCTCCAGCCTCTTCCTGGTGATGGCTGCCTTTGCCTTCTCATGTTTTAACAAAGGGTTACATCATCCACATAGCTAGCTGCTAAGAACGAGGGAATTGGGCGAAAGAAAGAGAGAGATCTCTTGCTTCCACAATACCCTTCTTTCTTTCAGCACCAGTTCATTCTGAAGGCCTCTCTCTCTCTCACTGACTCTCTCACTCTCTCTCAATCTCACTCTCTCACTCTCTCACTCTCAAAGCCTGCACAGAACAAACATGTATAGGTGTCTCCCTCTTTTCCCTGAGCTGTCTCTCCAATTCTAGAGCCTCCTCAAGTCTGCCTAACGCTCCTCAACCCCTAGGGTTTTGGTTTCAAGACCAGAGACAAGAACAAGAACAAGGCAGACAGCATGAAGTGAGAGCAACACATATTGATTTTCAGTGGTCACCCAGACAATGCAAAAGAAGCATCTGGACAGTGAGATGAGCTAGAGAGAATGAGAGACAGAGAGAGCGAGAGAGAGCGAGAGAGAATGAGAGACAGAGAGCGAGAGAGCGAGAATGAGAGACAGAGACAGAGACAGAGACAGAGAGAGAGAGAGAGAGAGAGAGAGAGAGAGAGCGAGATAGAGAATGAGAGACAGAGAGAAAGAGACAGACAGAGAGACAGATACAGAGAGAGAGAGAGAGAAAGAGAGAGAGAGAGAGAGAGAGAGAGAGAGAGACAGAGAGAGAGAGAGAGATACAGAGAGAGAGAGAGAGAGAGAGAGATACAGAGAGAGAGAGAGAGAGAGAGAGAGAGAGAGAGAGAGCGAGATAGAGAATGAGAGACAGAGAGAGAAAGAGACAGACAGAGAGACAGCGAGACAGAGACAGAGAGACAGATACAGAGAGAGAGAGAGAGAGAGAGAGAGAGAGAGAGAGAGAGAGAGAGAGAGAGAGAGAGACAGAGAGAGAGAGAGAGATACAGAGAGACAGAGAGAGAGAGAGAGATACAGAGAGAGAGAGACAGAGATACAGAGAGAGAGATAGAGATACAGAGAGAGAGATAGAGAATGAGAGACAGAGAGAGAAAGAGACAGACAGAGAGACAGCGAGACAGAGACAGAGAGACAGATACAGAGAGAGAGAGAGAGAGAGAGAAGAGAGAGAGAGAGAGAGAGAGAGAGAATGAGAGACAGAGACAGAGACAGAGACAGAGACAGAGACAGAGACAGAGACAGAGACAGAGACAGAGACAGAGAGAGAGAGAGAGAGAGAGAGAGAGAGAGAGAGAGAGAGAGAGAGAGAGACAGAGAGAGAAGAGAGAGAGAGAGAGAGAGAGAGAATGAGAGACAGAGAGAGAGAGAGAGAGATACAGAGAGAGAGAGAGAGAGAGAGAGAGAGAGAGAGAGAGAGAGACAGAGACAGAGAATGAGAGACAGAGAAAAAGACAGACAGCGAGACAGAGACAGAGAGAGAGAGAGAAAGAGAGATAGAACAGTTTAAAATGCACCAGTCAAGCAGCTCTCTCATCTCTCCTCTGCAGCCACAGCTAAACCTGTTCTCATCTCTGTCCTTATTCTTAGTCATGTAGATGTACATTTAGCCATGGAGACACAGTGCCCCCTGCAGGTGATCATAGAGACTACTGGCAGACTGCGTGGGTTCAGTGCTTAAGGTCTGTTCGTTTTCCTGTCTGTCTGATAGGACACCTTTCATTCTACTGCTAGTGACGCAGGAGTAGTTGAGAAGTCTCTCTCTCACACACACACACACACACACACACACACACACACACACACACACATACACACACACACACACACACACACACAGGTACAGACACATAAACAAACACGCACACACACGTACAGAAACATAGAAACACACACACACAGTTTTTATAGTGGCTGGATGTGAGTCATTGTTTCAGAGCATCGACGTCCAGCCACTCAGACAGCACTCTGCTTGTGTTTCTCTCAACACACAGAGAGAGAGATAGCCTCGTCTCAAATAAAACCCACTACACAGCCCACAGCATCCGGGTGGAGAGGGAGGCAGTGTCGCAGTATTGAACAGAATCAATGAACATATTGTAGGAGTGAACAAAAACAACTAGCAGGGCCGGTTCCAAGTATAAGCAAAATAAGCAGTAGCTTTATGACCCAAAAACAACTTCATTTTGTATTTATTTTCGGAACTCAGTCGGGGTCTCAACTTACTATTGAGAGTAAGAATAGCAGAATTAACCAGGTGCAATTTCGCAAATGGGTTAGCCATCAGCAGTTTTTCTCTTGTTTTTTTGTATTATGTCAGTCACTGACAGTTACTCAATTAGCCATGTCAGCCAACAATTGTTTATATTGGTAGTTAGTCTAATCAGCTATCTAAACTTGTCGTAAGTAATCATGGCAGAATACCGACCGGGCACGTGCCCAGGGGCCGTGACCTCCAGGGGGGCAAACATTGATTGTGTTAGTCATTCCCACTCAGACATCATATTAACATGGCATAAGTCATTACAAAATGTGTAGAATTACAGGAAATTAGCTTTAAAACTGCAAAAATCTCTGATATGTTCTGATGTTTAGACCACTCTCCATTCTACTGGTGTGTTCTGATGTTTAGACCACTCTCCATTCTACTGGTGTGTTCTGATGTTTAGACCACTCTCCATTCTACTGGTGTGTTCTGATGTTTAGACCACTCTCCATTCTACTGGTGTGTTCTGATGTTTAGACCACTCTCCATTCTACTGGTGTGTTCTGATGTTTAGACCACTCTCCATTCTACTGGTGTGTTCTGATGTTTAGACCACTCTCCATTCTACTGGTGTGTTCTGATGTTTAGACCACTCTCCATTCTACTGGTGTGTTCTGATGTTTAGACCACTCTCCATTCTACTGGTGTGTTATGATGTTTAGACCACTCTCCATTCTACTGGTGTGTTCTGATGTTTAGACCACTCTCCATTCTACTGGTGTGTTCTGATGTTTAGACCACTCTCCATTCTACTGGTGTGTTCTGATGTTTAGACCACTCTCCATTCTACTGGTGTGTTCTGATGTTTAGACCACTCTCCATTCTACTGGTGTGTTCTGATGTTTAGACCACTCTCCATTCTACTGGTGTGTTATGATGTTTAGACCACTCTCCATTCTACTGGTGTGTTATGATGTTTAGACCACTCTCCATTCTACTGGTGTGTTATGATGTTTAGACCACTCTCCTACTCCAGACTACCTTTCCTCTCCTTTATCAAAGCTGAAAGCTCTGCATATACAATGGGAGAGTAGCGAGAGTAGAGAGGCGTTGTGAGAAAAGCTAGTCTGTAATGGACCCCAAGCCACTTCTGTAGATCTGAGAGGATTGGATAGGTGGGAGCAACATGGTAACATTTCCACCTAGCCAATCAGAAGGCAAGGTGAATCTATTAGCATAAAGCTTACACAGTGTGTATCCAATATTCTCAGAAGATCTCGAGGAGTGCCGAGGGGTGTAGGGTTGATTAGGGATTCAGAACATCATGTTCTTAGAACTAGTGTGTAGTGCCTAGTATGTAGGGGCTAGGGGTAGGATGAGTGCTAAGGACTATGGGATTCAGAACTAGGCCTACATAGAGATGGAGACAGTCCATCCTTCCCCCACATTCCCTCCATAATGCTTATTACTGTATCTATCCAGTCTTCCCCTACACACCCTATAGTCTAGGCCTGGGGTGTAGGAGCTAGGTCTAATAAAGAACATGTGTGGACCTTGGCCAGGACTAGATTTGCAATTCAGAGCTGGAATTGTGTGGATAGAGAGAGTACTTCCTTTAACCATACCATGTCCCTGTCTGACACTGACTGAGAAACATCCCAAAGCCCTGATGGATGGGGACTGGCTGTCCCCACTGGGGAAGGGAGGAAAATCATTCTCAGAGTGCTCTTTTCAGGAGGGGGAGGGGTAAGAGGAGGTGGGGAAGAGGGGGAGGGGAAGAGGTGGAGGTGGAGGGGGAAGAGGGGGAAGACGAGGAGGAGGGGGAGGTGGAGGGGGAAGAGGAGGAGGGGAAAATGGATATTTTTTTACATTTTAGTAATTTAGCAGACGCTCTTATCCAGAGCGACTTACAGTTAGTGAGTGCATACATTTTCATACTGAAATGAAAGGGAGGAGGAGAGCCCCACTCACTACACACAGCTCACCTCCAAGACAATGACTTAGGCTTTCTGTCAGATGGGGAGAGAAGGAAAGAACGAACGGAGAGAACCTGCCCTCCCCCTGTCCTCTTCATGAACACTGACCAGCCGTAGTTGGACATTCATCAATTTCTCTCTCTAAACACTCAAGTTAGGGTGTGTTTGTGTGCGGTGTGTGTGCGTGCGTGCCACAGGAGGTTGGTGGCACCTTAATTAGGGAGGACGGGCTCGTGGTAATAGCTGGAGTGGAATGGTGTCAACTACATCAAACACATGGTTTCCAGGTGTTTGATGCCATTCCATTCACTCCAGCCATTATTATGAGCCGTCCTCCCCTCAGCAGCCTCCACTGGTGTGTGTGTGCATGTGTGTCTACCCCCTTCCCTCCAGACACTCCACAGTCATACACCATTAGAAATGCAAAGCATTTCTCTCCCAGCAAGGAATCCCTGATTATATTCTCCTGATAGGGTCTGTGGTATGAACAGGGGAAGTGATTATATTGGTACTAGCTTGACAATGACATTATCCAAATAGCAATAATTGATCAAAAGATAAAGCCTTCAGTGTAAATCAATACTAAAACTGTCTCAACCTCGAGGCCTATTCCTGACGTTTATGTTAGCTAGAGCTGGGATGCTAAACACTGAAGGGTCCAACCATTTAATGTCCTAACAACACCGACCAAACCCACCATTTATCAAGGACATTTTACGGATGTCGATAATAATGATAAGTAGCCTTTACTAGAGGAATGTGAAGTTAAAAAATAAATAAGTCTGCTAATATGGGACTTTGCTAACGGAACAATTGATAGCTACAACATTCAAAGTAATAGTAGTACTTTTAAGGGTAATATAAAACATTAACTGGTACACATTAATGTGGTAAAGTTATCGTTCAATTTATGGTTATGGTAATTCAGTCAACTTATTTTTGTCCATATCACCCAGCTCTAGTGTGAGCACTGAGCAGGACTAAGTCTAGTCTATACCAGAACAGAATAGCTTGTGAATGTGTTTGCTTCCCTGCACATATAGGCTCAAACGGCAGGCAAGGATAACCCCATCCCTGTATTCCTGTACTGCCCCTACTGTCTCTCCCTCCTGGAGGCTGATATTATTAACTGGTGTTTATTTAGAGCAGAGTTCTCCTCTCCTACCCCCTCCTCCCAGGGAGCAAGGGCAGTCATTTTACTGTTCAACAGAGCAGACACTTCTCCTTGCCAGGGGCATTTATTCTCATTCCTGGTGCAAAAATCACAAATTAGCACTAGAAGTTACCCAGCCTCTGTCCATCCCCTCCACCCTGAGATTACACAGACCCAGAAAAGAACTTGAAAACAAATCCAATTTTGATAAACTCCCATATCTATTGGGTGAAATACCACAGTGTGCCATCACAGCAGCAAGATTTGTGACCTGTTGCCACAAGAAAAGGGCAACCATTGAAGAGCAAACACCATTGTAAATACAACCCATATTTATGTTTATTTATTTTCCATTTTGTACTTTAACTATTTGCACATCATTACAACACTGTATATAGACATAATATGACATTAAATGTATTTATTATTTTGGAACTTTTGTGAGTGTAATGTTTACTGTTAATTTTTTATTATTTATTTTACTTGCTTTGGCAATGTAAACATATGTTTCCCATGCCAGTAAAGCCCCTTAAATTGAATTGAATTGAGAGAGAGAGAGAGACCGAGAGAGCGAGAGAGAGAGACAAAAACAATCACATTTTATTTGTCACATGCGGCAAATACAACTGGTGTAGACTTTACCGTGAAATGCTTGACCGATTGGCATTCGTCAGTCACGGTCAAAGACAAAGACAGTCATTACTCAGCCAGGGGGTGAGGGAGAGAATGTGTAGAGAGACCACTCAGACCATTTAGAACCCTCTGCATGGGGCGTCTGGGGGTTAGGGTGGCAGTGTCCACTGGGCAGCATGTCCAGGCTCTGACAGTACTTACTGGACATAGTCTGGGCTGTATCACTAGAAGGGATACAGCTTATGTCAAAAGAACGTCACACTCTCTCTGAATTCAGGGGAAATGGAAAGAGAGCCTGTGAAGCGACTTCTGCTTTCGGATGTTAACAAGGCGACACTCCACTTAACTCCTCCTCCACATGTACTGGATTGGTTGAAAAGTGCCAGGACCAGAAAGAAAGAAATGCCGCTCAGGCGTCAATTACTTAGATCAAAACAGAACAACTGGGCGCGTTTGACATTGCAGCCGACTTTAAAGGTGAGTCGAGACAAATCACCTTGCATCATAAATAACTACTCAAGTTTCAAACTCACGTGGTAGTTTGACATCACTTTGACATAAGAGTGATTCCAAATGAAAGACCATGATTTGGGGGATTTTCACAAAATGTAATCCATAGAATGGTCCTTTGGAGGAAGGATTGTTTACATATATTTGACATGTGTATCTAAAAGTATAATTGAGAAATAATTCATCAAAGTTGGCATATTTATGGCATTTTGGCCTTACCCAGGCCTCCTTTAAGACTCCATAATGTTTCATCTGTAGGTGCTACAAAGCAAAATTAAGCAAAATTATTTGAATATGATTGTTGTCATGTGAAGCTTAACCGTTTCCCCTGTAATATGAGTAGTATTTAGATTTTGTTACATTTATGAATCTTAAAAAATATAAACTTTAATATTGAAAAGCCACCATTTTTGATTTGCCATTTTATATATACAGTGAGGGAAAAAAGTATTTGATCTCCTGCTGATTTTGTACGTTTGCCCACTGACAAAGAAATGATCAGTCTATAATTTTGTGGTCCTCTGTAGCTCAGCTGGTAGAGCACGGCGCTTGTAACGCCAAGGTAGTGGGTTCGATCCCCGGGACCACCCATACACAAAAATGTATGCACGCATGACTGTAAGTCGCTTTGGATAAAAGCGTCTGCTAAATGGCATATTATTATTATTATTATTATTATTAATGGTAGGTTTATTTGAACAGTGAGAGACAGAATAACAACAACAAAATCCAGAAAAACGCATGTAAAAAATGTTATGAATTGATTAGCATTTTAATGAGGGAAATAAGTATTTGACCCCTCTGCAAAACATGACTTAGTACTTGGTGGCAAAACCCTTGTTGGCAATCACAGAGGTCAGACGTTTCTTGTAGTTGGCCACCAGGTTTGCACACATCTCAGGAGGGATTTTGTCCCACTCCTCTTTGCAGATCTTCTGCAAGTCATTAAGGTTTCGAGGCTGACGTTTGGCAACTCGAACCTTCAGCTCCCTCCACAGATTTTCTATGGGATTAAGGTCTGGAGACTGGCTAGGCCACTCCAGGACCTTAATGTGCTTCTTCTTGAGCCACTCCTTTGTTGCCTTGGCCGTGTGTTTTGGGTCATTGTCAAGTACTAAGTACTAAGTCATGTTTTGCAGAGGGGTCAAATACTTATTTCCCTCATTAAAATGCTAATCAATTCATAAAATTTTTGACATGCGTTTTTTTGGATTTTGTTATTGTTATTCTGTCTCTCACTGTTCAAATAAACCTACCATTAAAATTATAGACTGATCATGTCTTTGTCAGTGGGCAAACGTACAAAATCAGCAGGGGATCAAATACTTTTTTCCCCTCACTGTATATAGTTGAACATAATATACTCTATAAGCATCCCAAAGTTCAAGAGTGGGATCCCTGCTAGTTTTAAAGTTTTGGCCCATTTTATACAGAGAAATTGGAACAGTAGGCAATGTAACCAATCACAGCCCTCCTTTTACTTGTATCATTGCACATCCTGCAAATCACCAGCAGAGTGTGACCATTTTGAATCCATTTTCACATTCACTCTGTTGGTAATGCTTACAAATTGGATCATAACTCTAAAAGTGGCAGAGATTCCACTCTGGAACTTTGATTTGCCCGTAGAGCAGGGATGGGCTGCTGGAAGCCCGCGGGATCACAATTATCCCATGTCAGCTACAGTGGAGGCTGCTAAGGGGAGGACGGCTCATAATAATGGTAGGAACAGAGCAAATGGAATGGCATCAAACACCTGGAAACCATGTGTTTGATGTATTTGATACCATTCCACTGATTCCGCTCCACTCATTACCACGAGCCCCTTCTCCCCAATTAAGGTGCCACCAACCTCCTGTGGTCAGCTATCTAAACTTGTTTCATGGTCGAATTACTGGCCGTGGGGCCCCCATTGATTTTGTTAGTCAATCTCACTCAGATATCATATTAAAAACATCAAAAATGTCTCTCCACCCTATGGCAAAATGAGTAGAATTGCATGAAATTAGTTATCAAATTGCAAAATCTTCTCTCCGCCCCATGGTAAAATGTGTAGAATTGCAGCAAACTTGCTTTAAAACAAACATTTTCTCTACACCCAATGGCAAAATGTGTAGAATTGCACAAAATTAACTCTAAAACTCCGCTTTCAAGAGGAGGGCCACTAAAATGTTTTGCTCGCAATGTGTGTGTGGGGGGAGGGAGGTTTGGATGTGCATACGCAGACCCGCAAGCAACTGAGGCCCCTCATGATAAGTTGCCCATCCCTGCCATAGAGTATATTATGTTATTGAAATCAAAATACTATTCATATTACAGAGCAAGTGTAAAGCTTCATATGATACCAATGTTTGCTTTGTAGCACCTACAGATGAAACACTATGGAGTCCAAAGGAGACCAAAGGAGGCCTGGGTAAGGCCAGAATGTAGAAAATATGCCAACTTTGATTAATTACTTTGATAAAATGTCAAATATGCATCAACAATCCTTCCTCCAAAGGGCCATTCTATGGATTACATTTGGTGAAAATCCCCAAAAGCATGGTATTTTTTTTTCCTGGTTTCATATGGAATCACTCATGTAAATTGTATCCAACCAGGCTAGTGCCCAATCATCTCGTGCAAATATAGGGAAGGATCTGAGCCGTACTGCACTGTAGTCTAAGAATCACTGGAAGAAAATGTTTTGTTTGTTCACACAGCGAGGATATATCAAACTCAACTCCTTTTAAATATTAGGCTACATTTCACAATCAAAAGTTATTACGTAATGATGAACCATGATGGAGTGGAAGCAAATCATTCAAAAAGTCTCTTCTCTTTTTAGGAGTTTGTCTACAGACAAGAGTCGTCAGAGCACTCAGAAAGCTGAGAATATCCTAAATGTAATCTTTTCACTCTGCCAAGTACAGAACTCAGAGACGCCATCATCAGATTAATATATGAATTGCTCTGGCTGTGTTTCAAACGGCACCCTATTCCCTATGTAGTATACTACCTTTTGACCAGGGACCTATGGTCTCCTGTCAAAAGTAGTGCACTAAATAGGGAGCCATTTGGGAAGCACACGCACACATGCACACACAGTGCCCTGTCAGAAAGTAGGCCTCCATTACCAAAACAACTGTCACTAAAAAGAGCCCTCATCAACATAAAGCTATACAAAATTTAACACATACTTAGAGCTTTGTAAATCCATTCCATTCCCACCTTTAAAAAAAATTAATCTAATTCTAGTGGAACCCTTGTTGTGGGAATAATAATAATAACAGCAGAAGCAGAGAGCAATTTACATTTCAACGCCTATTACCACTGCTGTCAGTTACTAGAGCAATTAACGAAGGTGACAAGACATTTTTCTTTCAATTAAACAATAACTGGTCATCCAGAAATTGATTTGAAAACTAATTTTGCCTGCTAAGAACCAAGGTGACGCTATGACACACACAGACACACACACACACACACACACACACTGGGAGACTGGGCTACAGAATTAATTGCTACAGATGTAGGATCTTAATTTGAGCCAGTTTGCTAAAGCAGGAAAATAATCCTGTAGCAACAGGAAATTGAATTATTATGTGGATTATAGTGAATGGACATTTTTGTAGGGGTTGATACAAATTTCGTAAGGGAAAATCAAGTCTGAAATTTCAAAGTGGAATTAAAAACTTCAGAAGCCTTTTTAAACCTCAAATACACTACACGTTTTAAATGTACAGCATTGCAGGGTGATCAAATTAAGATCCTACACCTGTATGTAGGAATTTAATTTACACTGTGTGATACGATTTCACAAACAGAAACATAACAGTTTTAATAATACAAATAATAATAACAAAGACTAAAAAGGTCCTTCCAACAATATTGTTCAATGAAAAATATAGTTTTATGGCTGCCTAAACTAATTCCATACAGGTAACCCTACAGGTTTCTTTGAAACATTGTCTTTTCGATCAATCAATCAATCGCTTTATTGTCTCAATTGGAAATGTGTAGTGCAATCAGGGCAAAACTTTAAAACAACAACAATCACACAACAAAGTGTAGGCTACTGTTTGAACCATCCTGCACACCACAAACAGACAGACACATTCAGACTGTGTATGGTTGTATTATACCTCACTAATACTCTAATCAAATCTCTGATGCCTGAATGTGAATGGCTTCGCTGCATACCACAGCATACCAATAACCATAACCTCTGTGGCTGGCACTCCAGACACGGGTTCAAATATTATTCAAAATAATTCTTAAATACTTGACCTGGGCTTGATTGTGCTTGCCTGGTGCAATGGAAGTATGGAACCAATAGAATTGTCACAAAAGAGCAATACCTCACCCATCTGCCACTCCAGGAAGACTAAACAAATGCTCAAAGTATTTGAAAGATGTCAAATAGTATGTGAACCCAGTTCTGCTGGGCTGGCGCTCGTCTTAGCTGAGACCCTCTAGAATGTTTGATTGGCCTCATAAGCAGACGCCCTACAAAGTAAATTGACAATCGAATACAGATGCATGCGAGAATAGAGGGATGAGAGGAGAAAGGTTTATGACTGGTTATGGATCCTGAATCAACCTCTTCTCTTCTCCTATAATTACACCAGTCATCATTATAATACGCTTTTTCCCCTTCACACACACACACACACACACATATGCACACACATACACGCACGCACGCACACACACCACACAGTCGTAGGCACACACGCAAAACACACTCACTCAGCTATCTTTACGGCCTCATTCTGTTCAGTCGAGTAGCAATGAAGTTTAGAAGTTTAGTTCAGATTGTATTCTATTCCTTCATTGTGACAGACGGACAGTGAGGGGGGAGGAAAATGATTGAACATTAAATTGTGTTTTAGAAAGAAAATAACAAGGATTAGCTGTAAATCCTGACTGAGCCTCATCCCATCATCCTGGTACTGTCCCAAGTGGCACCCTATTCCCTAGCTAGTGCACTACTTTTGACCAGGGCCCATAGGGAATAGGGTACCATATGGGGACCCGTGAAATGCAGAACGAAGTCACAAAGTCATCTGCACTGTTTTTCTTTTTCTTTCTGGCAGCTAGACACTTAATCCCACTAAGATTACTGCAGATAATCCTTCTAAATGCATTGGATTAGCAATCAGTAAAATTACCCAATAGATTTATCGAATCTCAGTGAGATTAAGACACACAGCGAATCCACCTGTTTTTTAAAGCACGCCTGGGCCATTCCTGGGCCTTACTCGCTAATAACAGAATTATGTACATTAGTCTATGAGAAACACAGACACAGAGACACAAACACACACCTACACAAACACAGTCGGTCAAACCCTGCGGATCAATAGCCGAGACAAACCAAGCCTCATCCCAACTTCCATCTCTCACTGCGTTTAATGAACTAGTTAGCAGTACATTGTGTGATGGTGCGTTGAATGCTACCACCAGTCCCTGTATGGGGGGGGTCCGGCTGCTATAGTAGACTACCACCAGTCCCTGTATGGGGGGGGGTCCGGATGCTATAAGACACTACCACCAGTCCCTGTATGGGGGGGGGGGGGGGGGTCCGGCTGCTATAGGAGACTACCACCAGTCCCTGTATGGGGGGGGGGGGGTCCGGCTGCTATAGGAGACTACCACCAGTCCCTGTATGGGGGGGGGGGGTCCGGCTGCTATAAGACACTACCACCAGTCCCTGTATGGGGGGGGGGGGGTCAGGCTGCTATAAGACACTACCACCAGTCCCTGTATGGGGGGGGTCAGGCTGCTATAAGACACTACCACCAGTCCCTGTATGGGGGGGGGTCAGGCTGCTATAAGACACTACCACCAGTCCCTGTATGGGGGGGGGGTCCGGCTGCCATAAGACACTACCACCAGTCCCTGTATGGGGGGGGTCCGGCTGCTATAGTAGACTACCACCAGTCCCTGTATGGGGGGGGGGGGTCCGGCTGCTATAAGACACTACCACCAGTCCCTGTATGGGGGGGGGGGGGGGGGGGGGGTCCGGCTGCTATAGGAGACTACCACCAGTCCCTGTACGGGGGTTCCGGCTGCTATAAGACACTACAACCAGTCCCTGTATGGGGGGGGGGGGGGTCCGGCTGCTATAAGACACTACCACCAGTCCCTGTACGGGGGGTCTGGCTGCTATAAGACACTACCACCAGTCCCTGTATGGGGGGGGGTCCGGCTGCCATAAGACACTACCACCAGTCCCTGTATGGGGGGGGTCCGGCTGCTATAGTAGACTACCACCAGTCCCTGTATGGGGGGGGGTCCGGCTGCTATAGGAGACTACCACCAGTCCCTGTATGGGGGGTCTGGCTGCTATAGGACACTACCACCAGTCCCTGTATGGGGGGGGGGGGGGGTCCGGCTGCTATAGGAGACTACCACCAGTCCCTGTATGGGGGGGGGGGTCCGGCTGCTATAAGACACTACCACCAGTCCCTGTATGGGGGGGGGGGGGGGGGGGGGGTCCGGCTGCTATAGGACACTACCACCAGTCCCTGTATGGGGGGGGGGGGGGTCCGGCTGCTATAGGAGACTACCACCAGTCCGTGTATGGGGGGGGGGGGGTCCGGCTGCTATAAGACACTACCACCAGTCCCTGTATGGGGGGGGGGGGGTCAGGCTGCTATAAGACACTACCACCAGTCCCTGTATGGGGGGGGTCAGGCTGCTATAAGACACTACCACCAGTCCCTGTATGGGGGGGGTCAGGCTGCTATAAGACACTACCACCAGTCCCTGTATGGGGGGGGGGGTCCGGCTGCCATAAGACACTACCACCAGTCCCTGTATGGGGGGGGTCCGGCTGCTATAAGACACTACCACCAGTCCCTGTATGGGGGGGGGGGGGGGGGGGGTCCGGCTGCTATAGGAGACTACCACCAGTCCCTGTACGGGGGTTCCGGCTGCTATAAGACACTACAACCAGTCCCTGTATGGGGGGGGGGGGGGGGGGGGGTCCGGCTGCTATAAGACACTACCACCAGTCCCTGTACGGGGGGTCTGGCTGCTATAAGACACTACCACCAGTCCCTGTATGGGGGGGGTCCGGCTGCCATAAGACACTACCACCAGTCTCTGTATGGGGGGGGTCCGGCTGCTATAGTAGACTACCACCAGTCCCTGTATGGGGGGGGGGTCCGGCTGCTATAAGCCACTACCACCAGTCCTGTACGGGGGGTCTGGCTGCTATAGGACACTACCACCAGTCCCTGTATGGGGGGGGGGGGGGGTCCGGCTGCTATAGGAGACTACCACCAGTCCCTGTATGGGGGGGGGGGGTCCGGCTGCTATAAGACACTACCACCAGTCCCTGTATGGGGGGGGGGGGGGGGGGGGGGGGGTTCGGCTGCTATAAGACACTACCACCAGTCCCTGTATGGGGTGGGGGGGGTCCGGCTGCTATAAGACACTACCACCAGTCCCTGTACGGGGGGTCGGCTGCTATAAGACACTACCACAGTCCCTGTATGGGGGGGGGGGGTCCGGCTGCTATGTAGACTACCACCAGTCCCTGTATGGGGGGGGGGTCCGGCTGCTATAAGACACTACCACCAGTCCCTGTATGGGGGGGGGGGGGTCCGGCTGCTATAGTAGACTACCACCAGTCCCTGTATGGGGGGGGGTCCGGCTGCTATAAGACACTACCACCAGTCCCTGTATGGGGGTTCCGGCTGCTATAAGACACTACCACCAGTCCCTGTATGGGGGGGGGGGGGGGGGGGGTCCGGCTGCTATAGGAGACTACCACCAGTCCCTGTACGGGGGTTCCGGCTGCTATAAGACACTACAACCAGTCCCTGTATGGGGGGGGGGGGGTCCGGCTGCTATAAGACACTACCACCAGTCCCTGTACGGGGGGTCTGGCTGCTATAAGACACTACCACCAGTCCCTGTATGGGGGGGGGTCCGGCTGCCATAAGACACTACCACCAGTCCCTGTATGGGGGGGGTCCGGCTGCTATAGTAGACTACCACCAGTCCCTGTATGGGGGGGGGTCCGGCTGCTATAAGCCACTACCACCAGTCCCTGTACGGGGGGTCTGGCTGCTATAGGACACTACCACCAGTCCCTGTATGGGGGGGGGGGGGGGGTCCGGCTGCTATAGGAGACTACCACCAGTCCCTGTATGGGGGGGGGGGGTCCGGCTGCTATAAGACACTACCACCAGTCCCTGTATGGGGGGGGGGGGGGGGGGGGTCCGGCTGCTATAGGACACTACCACCAGTCCCTGTATGGGGGGGGGGGGGGTCCGGCTGCTATAGGAGACTACCACCAGTCCGTGTATGGGGGGGGGGGGTCCGGCTGCTATAAGACACTACCACCAGTCCCTGTATGGGGGGGGGGGGTCAGGCTGCTATAAGACACTACCACCAGTCCCTGTATGGGGGGGGTCAGGCTGCTATAAGACACTACCACCAGTCCCTGTATGGGGGGGGTCATGCTGCTATAAGACACTACCACCAGTCCCTGTATGGGGGGGGGGTCCGGCTGCCATAAGACACTACCACCAGTCCCTGTATGGGGGGGGTCCGGCTGCTATAGTAGACTACCACCAGTCCCTGTATGGGGGGGGGGTCCGGCTGCCATAAGACACTACCACCAGTCCCTGTATGGGGGGGGTCCGGCTGCTATAGTAGACTACCACCAGTCCCTGTATGGGGGGGGGGGTCCGGCTGCTATAGGAGACTACCACCAGTCCCTGTACGGGGGTTCCGGCTGCTATAAGACACTACAACCAGTCCCTGTATGGGGGGGGGGGGGGGGGGGGGGGGGGGGTCCGGCTGCTATAAGACACTACCACCAGTCCCTGTACGGGGGGTCTGGCTGCTATAAGACACTACCACCAGTCCCTGTATGGGGGGGGGTCCGGCTGCCATAAGACACTACCACCAGTCTCTGTATGGGGGGGGTCCGGCTGCTATAGTAGACTACCACCAGTCCCTGTATGGGGGGGGGGTCCGGCTGCTATAAGCCACTACCACCAGTCCCTGTACGGGGGGTCTGGCTGCTATAGGACACTACCACCAGTCCCTGTATGGGGGGGGGGGGGGGTCCGGCTGCTATAGGAGACTACCACCAGTCCCTGTATGGGGGGGGGGGGGTCCGGCTGCTATAAGACACTACCACCAGTCCCTGTATGGGGGGGGGGGGGGGGGGGGGGTCCGGCTGCTATAGGAGACTACCACCAGTCCGTGTATGGGGGGGGGGGGGTCCGGCTGCTATAAGACACTACCACCAGTCCCTGTATGGGGGGGGGGGGGGTCCGGCTGCTATAAGACACTACCACCAGTCCCTGTATGGGGGGGGGGGGGGGGGGGGGTCCGGCTGCTATAAGACACTACCACCAGTCCCTGTATGGGGGGGGGGTCAGGCTGCTATAAGACACTACCACCAGTCCCTGTATGGGGGGGGTCAGGCTGCTATAAGACACTACCACCAGTCCCTGTATGGGGGGGGGTCCGGCTGCCATAAGACACTACCACCAGTCCCTGTATGGGGTGGGGGGTGGGTCCGGCTGCTATAAGACACTACCACCAGTCCCTGTACGGGGGGGGGGGGGTCCGGCTGCTATAGGAGACTACCACGAGTCCCTGTACGGGGGTTCCGGCTGCTATAAGACACTACCACCAGTCCCTGTATGGGGTGGGGGGGGTCCGGCTGCTATAAGACACTACCACCAGTCCCTGTACGGGGGGTCTGGCTGCTATAAGACACTACCACAAGTCCCTGTATGGGGGGGGGGGGGTCCGGCTGCTATAGTAGACTACCACCAGTCCCTGTATGGGGGGGGGGTCCGGCTGCTATAAGACACTACCACCAGTCCCTGTATGGGGGGGGGGGGGGGGGGGGGGTCCGGCTGCTATAGTAGACTACCACCAGTCCCTGTATGGGGGGGGGTCCGGCTGCTATAAGACACTACCACCAGTCCCTGTATGGGGGTTCCGGCTGCTATAAGACACTACCACCAGTCCCTGTATGGGGGGGGGGGGGGGGGGGGGTCCGGCTGCTATAAGACACTACCACCAGTCCCTGTACGGGGGGTCTGGCTGCTATAAGACACTACCACCAGTCCCTGTATGGGGGGGGTCCGGCTGCTATAGTAGACTACCACCAGTCCCTGTATGGGGGGGGGGTCCGGCTGCTATAAGCCACTACCACCAGTCCCTGTACGGGGGGTCTGGCTGCTATAGGACACTACCACCAGTCCCTGTATGGGGGGGGGGGGGTCCGGCTGCTATAGGAGACTACCACTAGTCCCTGTATGGGGGGGGGGGTCCGGCTGCTATAAGACACTACCACCAGTCCCTGTATGGGGGGGGGGGGGGGGGTCCGGCTGCTATAAGACACTACCACCAGTCCCTGTATGGGGGGGGGGTCCGGCTGCTATAGGAGACTACCACCAGTCCCTGTATGGGGGGGGGGGGGGGGGGGGGGTCCGGCTGCTATAGTAGACTACCACCAGTCCCTGTATGGGGGGGGGTCCGGCTGCTATAAGACACTACCACCAGTCCCTGTATGGGGGGGGGGGGGGGGGGTCCGGCTGCTATAAGACACTACCACCAGTCCCTGTACGGGGGGTCTGGCTGCTATAAGACACTACCACCAGTCCCTGTATGGGGGGGTTCCGGCTGCCATAAGACACTACCACCAGTCCCTGTATGGGGGGGGGGGGGGTCCGGCTGCTATAGGAGACTACCACCAGTCCCTGTATGGGGGGGGGGGGGGTCCGGCTGCTATAAGACACTACCACCAGTCCCTGTATGGGGGGGGGGGTCCGGCTGCTATAAGACACTACCACCAGTCCCTGTATGGGGGGGGGGGGGGGGGGGGGGGGTCCGGCTGCTATAGGAGACTACCACCAGTCCCTGTACGGGGGGTCCGGCTGCTATAGGAGACTACCACCAGTCCCTGTACGGGGGGTCCGGCTGCTATAGGAGACTACCACCAGTCCCTGTACGGGGGTTCCGGCTGCTATAGGACACTACCACCAGTCCCTGTATGGGAGGGGGTCCGGCTGCCATTAGATACTACCACCAGTCCCTGTATGGGGGGGGGGTCCGGCTGCCATAGTAGACTACCACCAGTTCCTGTATGGGGGGGGGGGGTCCGGCTGCTATAAGACACTACCACCAGTCCCTGTATGGGGGGGGGGGTCCGGCTGCTATAGGAGACTACCACCAGTCCCTGTACGGGGGGTCCGGCTGCTATAGGAGACTACCACCAGTCCCTCTATGGGGGTTCCGGCTGCTATAGGACACTACCACCAGTCCCTCTATGGGGGGGGGGGGGGGTCCGGCTGCTATAAGACACTACCACCAGTCCCTGTATGGGGGGTCCGGCTGCCATAAGACACTACCACCAGTCCCTGTATGGGGGGGGGGGGGGTGGTCCGGCTGCTATAAGACACTACCACCAGTCCTTGTATGGGGGGGGGGGGGGGGGGGGGGGGGGGTCCGGTTGCTATAGGAGACTACCACCAGTCCCTGTATGGGGGGGGGGTGGGGTCCGGCTGCTATAAGAGACTACCACTCCTGGATCTCACTTGACTCAAGCAGCAAGCAGCAGATCTTATTTGACTCCACACACACACACACACACACACACACACACACACACACACACACACACACACACACTATAAGAGCCTATCATTCCTGGACTCTAGCATTAAAGCAGCAGCCAGTTTAATCTCAGTTTAATCAAGGCCTCAGTGTTTGTAGACAGCTTTAACAAGATGATGAGGCTTCAGTGTTTGTAGATAGCTTTAACAAGATGTCACTGACTGGGCTAGGAATGAAAGTCCAGGAACTTGGAGGGAGGGAGGGAGGGAGGGAGGGAGGGAGGGAACCGAAAAGTGAACTGATCCTGATTAATGACGACAAGAGGGAAAGCGAAAGGGGGGAAAAAGGAAAAACAAGGACATACTGTAGCTGGCAGGGAGGTAGGGTAGGATTGGGGGCTGTGCCCAGATATCCAGTATGGTGGTGGTAGACATTTGCCCCCCTCCATGTAGACACTATTCTTAACAGCAGGTTACATAGTGCCATCTGCCTGATCAGACAGAGAGCTAGTCCATTAATGTCCACCCTCCAACTCCACAGACAGACACACACACCCACCCACACACACACCCCTCCTGCTCTCTCTCTCCCGACAGCTCACCACCCCAGCTGACATTTTGAGCACCTGCTGTCCAACCTCTGTCTAAACATAATCAAGGAAGAATTAGAAACTCAATGATCCTAATAATTAAACTTTAATAGGAGATATAAAGCACCCTGATGTCCTGATAAAGCTGAGGAGGAGCTGTGGAAAGCAGCACTATGTTACACACACAGCAAATTGGCCAGTGTTGATTTTTCAGAGTAACATTTCTAGTGTTGATTCAGGAGTTAAATTCACTCTGTACGAGTGAGATTAACACTAAGTGGTGTAAAATAACCCCAGTGTTGGTGTTAATAACCAGAGTTATTGTTTTACACTGTGGAGAGCAAAACAGTCCCATCAAAACCACACCTATCATTATCATATTTCCCAGCATGCTATGTGGGTTGATTTTTTTATAGGACTGTTTTTAATATCTGTGTTTTTGCATGTACATTGATTAATTGATTAATCTTATGCTACACAAAGATAAATAACATACATTTTTCTAAAATAATCAAATTAGTTAGTTACATTTATTGCCCCCATTATTGAAATGGTTGTTCCGGTTTAAATGGTTTAGGTAGTGTTTTTTATGAAGTCTCCTAACCCTGACAGTCATTCTGAATGCAGGTTGTGGATGAATAAAAATTCCAACTGTTGGATATCCTAACGCTGGCTGGATTCAAATAGGAATTACACCACTTTGCAAGCCAGCATAATGTGACTTGCAGGCCTGATGTGGCCTGTAAACCAGGAGTTTCCTAACACCACTGTGTTAGGGTAAAACTAGGCCATCAACCAGGCCAATAAGCACGGCCTTATGATATATGTAATGTATTGTCATAGAGTTTAATTTGAATGTCTAAAAGCATTGTATTTGAGACAAATAATTAGCTAAACCTGAAACCTCATCTAAATTTTGAAATGAATAATGTGGCAATTAAGCAAGTTGAGGAGACTAAACTGCTTGGTGTAACCCTAGATAGTAAGCTGACATGGTCAAAACATTGATTTAACGGTTGCTAAATTGGCACTAGCACAGGAACTCACTTGGTGAAGGTCACAGGCCTTTAAACTGCAAGACTTCAACAACCATGTCTCTGTCGCTAACAAATACAGTCATGGGTGTTGACTCTAGAATTTACTTTAAAAGAAAAGGAACCCTGGGAAATATGCAAATAAGGATTTAAACCATACAGTGTTAAAACAACACCCCAGAAATGATTTACTGTAACACTTAAAGGTGTTAATTTCTTACACTGAGAAAGTGAGTCCAGTTTACTCTAAATCAAGTGTTATGTTTTACACTGTAGGTGTTGTGTATTACTCTACAGTAGAGCTATGCAAACACCACAATCACGTTCATTTGAACACTTTAAGAGTTGAATGGGGAACACTGCAACAGAGTTACATCTTTAACACTTTCAAACGTGTTATTTTAACACCAGTTCAGTGTTCACTGAAAATAGTGTACATTTTACACTGTCAGATTTAAATGTACACCATTGAGTTTGCTGTGCAGACAGAGCATACACACAGAGCATACACACAGAGCATACACACAGAGCACACACACAGAGCACACACACACACAGCATACACACACACAGCATACACACAGAGCACACACACACAGAGCATACACACAGAGCATACACACAGAGCATACACACAGAGCACACACACACAGAGCATACACACAGAACATACACACAGAGCATACACACAGAGCATACACACACACAGCACTATGTCACACAGACATGAAATGTCCTGCTGAAGTATTTAATTGTTAATGAAAGTAGAAAAGTCAGAAAGTCAGACAGGTTAAATGCATGTTTGTATTCCAAATAATGTTTCAGCCTTTGTTTATACAGGTTAGTCTCAAGAGAGACTTGTATGAGTTCAGACTGGTTAAAACCTTTTACTGCAGTGGGCTAAATCAGGGTCACACAGAGTGTTTCTTGGTAGTCTTAAACAAATCTACTTCGAAACAAAAGTATACACCTCATACACATGGTTATGGGCTTACAAAAAGAAGAGACCTGTACCATGTCAGATATAGATTTGAAATGTATTACATTTTGTGTTTGCATCCCAATATTACACTTTACATACATCACAGAAGACTGAAATATAACAAAACCGTTTGACATAGATTCACTGGATTTTCGGTGGGTATTTTTGAAATAAAGTTGATTAATTATGAAATTATGACAAATATTAATAACATTCCACCCATGAGGCCACTAGAGGGCGATATGGTAATTTGACTGCAGGAAAGGGCTACATTTTTTAGATGCAACACTTACAGTGTAAGCACATTCCGTTTCTGCTTTCTACGGCTGATATAGAACAATAAACATATTCCTTATGCAAATGCTCCGTATGTTCCATCTGGCCGTATGCATTCATACATAAAAGACACAGGCAAACCGACACATCCCCTGTGCTAATGTTCTGTGTTATTTGCGTCTTGTGAATGTGAGTACAGATGCTGCTGGCTCAAATAGAGGTTATGTACCAAGATGTTAATGTGCATTTAAAAAAGGCTGGTAACACAGGAGACAGTAATAACCATTGAGATCGAATCTATCGATCTCTCTCTACAGTAATAAAATAATCTTTAAGCACTGCCACTTTAGTTCCATAGAGACATATCTTCTTCACATTTAAAATGACCACTAAACCTCTGATGCCCCCGATGGTTATTCAAACGTAATATCAATGCACTGAACTGTTGAAATTAAGAATGGACTAAAATATACAGCCGAGGGAGAGGGTAACACAGCTGTTTCGTATTTTGGCCTTCGCTGGAAATTAGTAAAGGTAGCCAATTAAACAACACTGTGGAAAAACACTGGGGGAAAACCGCTGGACAAGGCTACATTTATTTCTGAAACAATGTTTGCTTAACATGATCGCAGTGTGAGGTTACGCGCTGCCGGTAACTGTGGGTTCACTATCAAATTGCTCCATTATAAGGGATGGACCAACCATCATCACAACAAACAATAATTGGAACACAATTCTATCATCCAGAAATGCATGGGTTCCTATTCTGCTATTTAGCACAATGTTTTATATTGTTCTGGCTCTCTGCCATACAGTAAGTAGATGGTGAGTAACACAGGCGCTCTGCCATACAGTAAGTAGATGGTGAGTAACACAGGCGCTCTGCCATACAGTAAGTAGATGGTGAGTAACACAGGCGCTCTGCCATACACTAAGTAGATGGTGAGTAACACAGGCGCTCTGCCATACAGTAAGTAGATGGTGAGTAACACAGGCGCTCTGCCATACAGTAAGTAGATGGTGAGTAACACAGGCGCTCTGCCATACAGTAAGTAGATGGTGAGTAACACAGGCGCTCTGCCATACACTAAGTAGATGGTGAGTAACACAGGCGCTCTGCCATACAGTAAGTAGATGGTGAGTAACACAGGCGCTCTGCCATACAGTAAGTAGATGGTGAGTAACACAGGCGCTCTGCCATACAGTAAGTAGATGGTGAGTAACACAGGCGCTCTGCCATACAGTAAGTAGATGGTGAGTAACACAGGCGCTCTGCCATACAGTAAGTAGATGGTGAGTAACACAGGCGCTCTGCCATACAGTAAGTAGATGGTGAGTAACACAGGCGCTCTGCCATACAGTAAGTAGATGGTGAGTAACACAGGCGCTCTGCCATACAGTAAGTAGATGGTGAGTAACACAGGTGCTCTGCCATACAGTAAGTAGATGGTGAGTAACACAGGCGCTCTGCCATACAGTAGGTAGATGGTGAGTAACACAGGCGCTCTGCCATACACTAAGTAGATGGTGAGTAACACCGGCGCTCTGCCATACAGTAAGTAGATGGTGAGTAACACAGGCGCTCTGCCATACAGTAAGTAGATGGTGAGTAACACAGGCGCTCTGCCATACAGTAAGTAGATGGTGAGTAACACAGGCGCTCTGCCATAGGTTGGTGTGAATAACAATAGAAAAGGAAGTGAACTACTGTTCTGCTAATCTCTCCAGCCACCTGTCAGAATAAAATACCAGGAAGAGAACACACACACACACACACACAATTAGCGTGCTTCTACAGATAATGGGCTGTTCATTACCAGACTACTAGTAACCTAATTTCTCTAACCTCTACATTAAAAACATACTCACATCATACACTGTATCATCGACAGGGCTGTAGTGGAACAGGTTGAGAGCTTCAAGTTCCTTGGTGTCCACATCACCAACGAACTATCATGGTCTAAACACACCAAGACAGTTGTGAAGAGGGCACGACAAAGCCTATTCCCCCTCAGGAGACTGAAAAGATTTGGCATGGGTCCTCAGATCCTCAAAAAGTTATACAGCTGCACCATCGAGAGCATCCTGACTGGTTGCATCATCGCCTGGTATGGCAACTGCTCGGCCTCCGACCGCAAGGCACTACAGAGGGTAGTGCGTACGGCCCAGTACATCACTGGGGCCAAGCTTCCTGCCATCCAGGACCTCTATACCAGGCTGTGTCAGAGGAAGGCCCTCAAAATTGTCAAAGACTCCAGCCCCCCTAGTCACAGACTGTTCTCTCTGCTACCGCACGGCAAGCAGTACCGGAGCGCCAAGTCTAGGTCCAAAAGGCTTCTCAACAGCTTCTACCCCCAAGCCATAAGACTCCTGAACAGCTAATCATGGCTACCCGGACTATTTGCACTGCCCCCCCACCCCCCTCTTTTACGCTGCTGCTACTCTGTTAATTATTTATGCATAGTCACTTTAACTCTACCCACATGTACATATTACCTCAATTACCTCAACTAGCCGGTGCCCCCGCACATTGACTCTGTACTGGTACCCCCTTGTATATAGTCTCCCTACTGTTGTTTATTTTTTTACTTAACACTTTTTAAAAAACATTTCTTTAAAAATGCATTGTTGGTTAAGTGCTTGTAAGTAAGCATTTCACTGTAATGTCTACACCTGTTATATTCGGCGCGTGTGGCAAATACAATTTGATTTGATTTGATTTGGTATCCCACAAAGGCCCACAAAAAGTGTGGCCCTCAAGGAAAGTCTTAGCAAACAAATCCTGAAATAGAAATGATGCTTTCTCTCAACCCACAATGAATTACTGCAGAACTGCTCAAAGTCAATGATTCACCATATGTAGTGTGTTTGTTTCTATGACCACCAATCCACCAGTCAATCCAGCAAGTCAGCACTTTACACCCGCCAACACTAGAGGGCAGCAAACACATAAAAAGCACACTGCCTGCATGTTGTAAGCTTGTAGAGTGAAACAACTTTCCATAGATTATGAAAAACCACAGCTTTTGCTGATTTACACCCTCTGAACTGTTGAAAGTTCATTTATAAAAGCACCTTACCAGAAATAACACACATAGAAGATCCATGGCTTTGCTTGTTTCACAGCTTCCTACATTAAACCATTGTAACTCATTTTAAAAAGCACCTTACTGGCATTAACAAATACAGAAGAACTGTTTGCATGTCATGAGGTTGTAGTGTGAAACAGCTGATCACCATAGGTATGGCTTCCCTTGTTTCAGTTCAAACTGCATTAAAGCAGTGCAAACACAACAAAATGCATTGCATGTAGCCACAGTTTGACAAACTCCTGCATCAAACCAATGTAAGTTAATAACAAAGCACCGTACCTGCGTTAACTATGGCATCAACCTCGAGGATGGTGATGTCACCCTTGTAGAGAGATACTTTGTCTCTCAGAAGGTCCTTCCCCTCCTCTTCCTCAGTCACTAGAAACAACAAGAGCAGGGGTGTGTTCATTAGGCACACCGTACAGGTACACAAGAGCAGGGGTGTGTTCATTAGGCACACCGTACAGGTACACAAGAGCAGGGGTGTGTTCATTAGCCACACCGTACAGGTACACAAGAGCAGGGGTGTGTTCATTAGCCACACCGTACAGGTACACAAGAGCAGGGGTGTGTTCATTAGCCACACCGTACAGGTACTCTTAAAGACAGGAGCAGAAATAAAGACAGATAACTCACATTTTTTTAGCTTAGTTCCTCTTGTTTACTGTCCTTGTGGAATACAGTACATCTGGAATGATGTACCATATCGTTGTTGTCCTATAGACTAGTGCATTATTTAGGGTTTATAACAGTAAACTTACAGACACAAACACACAACCTGCCAGCAAGCCAGACAGACAAACACTCAGACAAACACAGACATACAGTGCATTCAGAAAGTATTCAGACCCCTTCCCTTTTTCCAGATTTTGTTACGTTACAGCCTTATTCTACAATACAGAGAGATCCTTGATGAAAACCTGCTCCAGAGCGCTCAGGACCTCAGACTGGGGCGAAGGTTCACCTTCCAACAGGACAACGACCCTAAGCACACAGACAAGACAATGCAGGAGTGGCTTCGAGACAAGTCTCTGAATGTCCTTGAGTGGCCCAGCCAGAGCCCAGACTTGAACCCGATCTAACATCTCAGGAGAAACCTGAAAATAGCTGTCCAGCGACGCTCCCCATCCAACCTGACAGAGCTTGAGAGGATCTGCAGAGAAGAATAGGAGAAACTCCCCAAATACAGGTGTGCCAAGCTTGTAGCGTCATACCCAAGAAGACTCGAGGCTGTAATCACTGCGAAAGGTGCTTCAACAAAGTACTGAGTAAAGGTTCTGAATACTTACGTAAATGTAATATTTCAGTTTTATATTTTTAATAAATTTGCTAAAATGTCTAAAAACCTGTTTTTCTTCGTCATTATGGGGTATTGTGTGTGGCTTGATGAGGGAAAAAAACGATTTAATCCATTTTAGAATAAGGCTGTAAAGTAACAAAATGTGGAAAAAGTCAAGGGGTCTGAATACTTTCCGAATGCACCGTATATATATAGACAGACAGACAGACACAACTGGGGTAGGGGTATGTATTGAATGCATGAGAAAAAGTTACCAACTACAAACAGATTCATTTGTGTACTGTAGTGACACATTCACGAAAGTGTTCTGCTCACAGGAGGCTGGTGAGGGGAGGATGGCTCACAATAATGGCTGGAATAGAGTGAATGGAATGGCATCAAACACATGGAAACCATGTGGGTGATGTGTTTGATACCACTCCATTCATTCCAGCCATTACTATGAGCCTCCCCAATTAAGGTCCCACAAGCCACCTGTGGTTCTGCTAAATATGCCCACCGACATTTCAGATTGAATCTACAAAACCCCATAAAACAGCTTCAAAATAATATTTCTACATTTATACCACGGTGGCACACACACACACACACACACACACACACACACACACACACACAAACAAACACAGACATCCAGTAACTAAGGAAATTCAGTGTCAGGCATCAGATTATGATAATCACATCAGGACTGTGTTCCATATGGCACACTACTGCCAATATACTACGTTTGACTAGGGCCTTATGGGCCTAATAGAGACTGGGTAATTAACATTGATTCCTACAATACAGTCAGTACCACATGCCTGCAGGTTGTGTGTGTGTGTGTGTGTGTGTGTGTGTGCATAACATGTATCTATACAGGTACTGGCTGGCCTACCCTTCTCCTAGACTTTGATTGTTGTTTTCATGATATGGTTAGATGTTTACATGTATTTATTCATTCATTTTACTATAGTAAATGTTTTATTTTATTCACTTTTGAGATTATTCTTGTAATGAAAAGCACCTTACAAATGTAATATATTATTATTACCATTATTATGTGGCCAAACTAGTCTGAAATGTTTCTATGTCTGTGTCAACGTGTAGTCTAGTCAAGAGTTAAATTGTACAATCTGATATAAAAACCTTAATCATCATAGGCATAGACAACTCTACGATAACATATTTTTCTTCCAAGACAAAGCTAACTTTATAAGCGAGATGGGCAAACTGAAAAGATTACAGGCTTGGATTGATTCCTCTGTCCTTGCCTCTTCCCTTGAAGGGCAGATGTATTTTCCCATGAATTAAACCTCACCAGGGTTGAGGGTAGCTGAAGGATGGGACTAAAAACAAACAAAAGATAACTAATGTAAAATATACTTTGTCTGTAAAATGTATATAGCATGTATAAACTGGAAGTAGAAGCCTACATGTTGTTGTCCATTAGTTTACTCCAATTAGGGGAGGGGTGGTAGGGTTAGGGGAAAATAACAAAGGAGAATATATTTTTAAAAATATATACAGTACCAGTCAAAGGTTTGGACACACCTACTCATTCAAGGGTTTTTCTTTATTTTTACTATTTTCTACATTGTAGAATAAAAGTGAAGACATCAAAACTATTAAATAACACATATGGAATCATGTAGTAACCAAAATAAAGTGTTAAACAAATCAAAATATATTTTATATTTGAGATTCATCAAATAGCCACCCTTTGCCTTGATGACAGCTTTGCACACTCTTCGCATTCTCTCAACCAGCTTCATCTGGAATCCTTTTCCAACAGTCTTGAATGAGTTCCCACATATGCTGAGCACATATGCTTTTCCTTCACTCTGCCGTCCGACTCATCCCAAACCATCTCAATTGTGTTGAGATCGAGTGATTGTGGAGGCCAGGTCATCTGATGCAGCACTCCATCACTCTCCTTCTTGGTCAAATAGCCCTTACACAGCCTGGAGGTGTGTTGGGTCATTGTCCTGTTGAAAAACAAATGATAGTCCCACTGAGCCCAAACCAGATGAGATGGCGTATCGCTGCAGAATGCTGTGGTAGCCATGCTGGTTAAGTGTGCCTTGAATACTAAATAAATCACAGACAGTGTCACCAGCAAAGCACCCCCACACCATAACACCTCCTCCTCCATGCGGAGATAATCTGTTCACCTACTCTGCGTTTCACAAAGACACAGCGGTTGGAACAAAAAATCTCAAATTTGGACTCATCAGACCAAAGGACAGCTTTCCACCAGTCTAATGTCCATTGCTCGTGTTTCTTGGCCCAAGCAAGTCTCTTTTTCTTATTGGTGTTCTTTAGTAGTGGTTTCTTTGCAGCAATTCGACCATGAAGGCCTGATTCACACAGTCTCCTATGAACAGTTGAAGTTGAGATGTGTCTGTTACTTGAACTCTGTGAAGCATTTATTTGGGCTGCAATTTCTGAGGCTGGTAACTCTAATGAACTTAATCCTCTGCAACAGAGGTAACTCTGGGTCTTCCTTTCCTGTGGCGGTCCTCATGAGAGCCAATTTCATCATAGCGCTTGATGGTTTTTGCGACTGCACTTGAAGAAACACTAATGTATTTGTCCTCTTGCTCAGTTGTGCACTGGGGTCAAAGTTCTTGAAATGTTCCGTATTCCGACCTTCATTTCTATGATGGACTGTAATGATGGACTGTTGTTTCTCTTTGCTTTTTTTGAGCTGTTCTTGCCATAATATAGACTTGGTCTTTTACCAAATAGGGCTATCTTCTGTATACCCCCCCCCTACCTTGTCACAACACAACTGATTGGTTCAAACGCATTAAGAAGGAAAGAAATTCCACAAATTAACTTTTAAGAAGGCACACCTGTTAATTGAAATGCATTCCAGGTGACTACCTCATGAAGCTGGTTGAGAGAATGCCAAGAGTGTGCAAAGCTGTCATCAAGGCAAAGGGTGGCTATTTGAAGAATGTAAAATCTCAAATATATTTTGATTTGTTTAACACTTTTTTGGTCACTACATGATTCCATATGTGTTATTTCATAGTTTTGATGACGTCGCTATTATTCTACAATGTAAAGAAATGTGTACAAATAAAGAAAAACCCTTGAATGAGAAGGTGTGTCCAAATTTTTGACTGGTAGTGTATATCTTTTGTATATATACAGTATTTTCACAAAATATATGGGGGGTTGGAAATTATGCAGACAATTACACTGATGGAAGCCACAGTCTATCTGCAATATTAAAGCTGATCTACCCTCCCCATGGTGGCCATGAAGGGTTATGTCAATCTTATGACAGTGTTATTAAGCTGTTATGTCAGGCTAGAGTTGAAGATTGAAATTGGGAAGTTGTTCCCTTTGAATGTCTCTTCAAGTGAACTAGCTTGTTCATTGTTCAGATTCATTGCTTAGTCTGATTATTAGCAGTCTCCACATCAGTAGGCTCAGGCTCTGGGGGGGGGGGGGAATCTCTCTGGACTTGTTCTAATACTTTAGAAATGCATCCTTCCTTCCTTCCTTGTTTCCTTGAGGTAAGCACATACTTTTTAGTGATTGGATAGGTGTAAGGTAACTACCCTATCACTTTCACCAATACTCTACCAATTCAGACCTGTGATTACTTCAAGAAAGGAAGGAAGGAAGGAAGGATTTCTGAAGAATTCGAACAAGGCCTCTGTGTGTATCTCTCACCTTCTGTGCTCTGAGACTGTTTCCAGGTGTTGATTTGGTCCAGAGGTACGTATTCAGACCGACGGTACTCCTTACGCCTCTCCTCCGATGACATATTCAACACTCTGCCTGAAGGAAAGAATAGATAGACCATTTCAGAACAAATTACTAAATTGTAGAACAAACTACTCCGTTTTAGAACAAACTACTCAATTTTAGAACATTTTAGTCCATTTTAGAACATAATAGTTCATTTTAGAACAAACTACTCCATTTTAGAACAAACTACTCCATTTTAGAACATAATAATCCAAACAAATAATGTTTTCGTCATGCAAACAAATGAGTGAGTGTGGAACAGACAAAATAGTCCATTTTCAAAAAATTATGAAACAAGACAGGTGAAGCTGAGCTAAGAATATCATAGTAGGACAGAGCCAGTCTGGACATCCAGGCTCAGAATATTGTTGCAGCACCAGAGAGAAAAGTTTAGCGATTGAGGCGAGATGAGGTGAGGTGAGCCAGATTGCTGCTGGGCAAATGGTATTTTTGTCTGATGCATTGTTACATGTTGCCAGCACTTCATGTATTTTCCTGTATTTATGGCAGTATACTACTTGCCAGTGATAAAAATAAAGAAATGGTTAATTCGTTCATTTAATGCAGGAAGTTGTGTTTGTCAAAGTTTTCAAGTAAGACTTGAAATAAGTGACATGATTTTCAGGTGAAGCTGAGCTAAGAATCTTACAGTCACTAAATAAGCCACTCCCTCCTTCCTATTCCCCCACCACCCCGCCGGTTAAGAGCACTTGGCCAGTAACAAAAGGTCGCGGATTCGAATCCCTGAGCCGACTATGTGAAAAATCTGTCGATGTGCCCTTGAGCAAGGCACTTAACCCTAAATGCTCCTGTCAGTCGCTCTGGATAAGAGCATTTGCTAATTGACTCAAATGTAAACGTAAAATGCCTTATAGTAGCATATTGTAAGCTACAATGAGAGCATCTTTGACTAGGCCTAACACTTTATAATGGTGTGACTAGGCCTAACACTTTATAATGGTACAGAATTCTTAGAGATGACGATGGTTTTGTAATAGCCTACTGGGCAGTGGGCTGTGTGTGGGCTACGTCTTGTCTGGTTCACATTAGGATAATAAATATATACACTGTGATATGTTAATCTACCTGAGCTGAGGAAAGTGTTTAGAATGTTAGAAGAAAATAGACAAATAAAACACACTTAAGCCAATGATAAAATCCTGACAACATTGTAACTATAACAGTTATTATTACCTCTCTATATCTATGTAGCATAATATGTGTTATTCATAATAAGAAAATAGTATTATAGGCCACACATTGGGCTCATATTACACATAGGCTAACTGTTTACAATAGCCCCTTCATGCCATGACAGACTTAGCTACCTACCTACCTACCTACCTACCTATTCATCTATATGTCGTGCTCTCTCTTGGGAGCCATTGTCATTCATTCTAACAGGTGAACTTGCAGAAATAGACGGCCTAGTGGACAAGCCTCGAGTAGCAGCTATATTGCCTTGTTAAAGTCCACCAACGCACCGTGTGTATATATATGTGTGTAAGCTAAACGTGGGTTACTGTTATGACAGCAGCGGTGTGGTAATGGTGCGTTTGGCTAGTATGGTTCGGTACCAGGCAGAGGCACCGGCGCATCCTGCTTAGCGCAACATCTGTAGGCTTCGCGGGCTCGCATATGTCCGGATGCTGGTGCATGTAGCCAGCCCTATAATAAGTGCCTTCTAATTAACAGCCGGTGCTCACAGATATCATGGACTGTCAGATAGATCACCTATGGCAGACAGTCAGCTGTAAAGGCATGGGAGACATGGAGAGAGATGATGGTACAGATTCATTGTAGTGGTCCCCAACCCCAAAATAAGTATTCTTACCTTTCTCTGTCTTCCAGTCCTTTTTCTTTTTGCTCATGGTGCCGTGGTGATTGGACTTGGAGTTCGTGTTTTTTGACTGTGGCAACCCCAGACTCGAAGCGTATGGTAGGACCGGGGAACTGAAAGAGAAAGTAAAACAATCCTGGAGCTAGCAGCTTAACCCACGACGTCTCTCTCACCTGTGAAACTGTCAAGATTTCTATGGACCTCAGTAATGCAGGCTCGATGCAACCTAGCGTGATGAGCACCGTAAAATACGTGTTGTTGGAATCACGGCCAAGCGATTGGCTGTCGGAGACAAGGAAGTAGATGTGCGATAGGAGCGCCTGATGTGGCAGTCAGAGTGATTGGCCACAATAGCGGAATTTGCTGTTCGCCATCAAAATAAAGTCCCCCATTGAAACTGATCCAAACGGATACAAATAGTGGAATAATGCCATATTTGGAATAGATAACGCTAAACAAGGTTGGAATGTTGTTATATAACTTAAAAATAAATAGACTGCACAACTGCAATGGGGACATATATGCACTGTACAGCTTTACCAACTCCTCTCTTACTTCATTTGGAATTGTAATCTTTGGGTGTCACGGAGAAGGCAGATACCCCATTTCATGGGCGAAAACTTAATAGGTAAGGCTGTACAGTGCATATATAAATGCCCCAAATGTAATTATCTAATACATCCACAGCAGTGGAGGCTGCTGAGGGGAGGACGGCTCATAATAATGGCTGGAACGGAGCAAATGGAATGACATCAAACACATGGAAACCATGAGTTTGATGTATTTGATACCATTCCACTGATTCCGCTCCACCCATTACCACAAGCCCATCCTCCCCAATTAAGGTGGGTTTTTTGTCAAATTAATAAATAATTGTATTGATTTATTTATACAGCATTCCAACCTTGTTTAGCATTATCTAGTCCAAATATAACATTATTCCGCTATTTGGATCCGTTTGGATCAGTTTCAATGGGGGACCATTATTTTGAAGGCAAACCACAAATTCCACTATTGTGGCTAATGCTTATTGTGGCTAGCTTCACACAGGTAAGCGCCATGAGGTAGGTTCGGTTGATTCTATAATAATAATAATAATAATAATAATTAATAATAATAATAATAATAATAATAATTGGTCATTTAGCAGACGCTCTTATCCAGAGCGACTTACAGGAGCAATTAGGGTTAAGTGCCTTGCTCAAGGGCACTTCGACAGATTTTTCACCTAGTGGGCTCGGGGATTAGAACCAGCGACCTTTCGGTTACTGGCACAACGCTCTTAACCACTAAGCTACCTGCCGCCGATTCGTCCTACTCCACCGCTTGACGTGCGAGGTGGTCGGGTAGCAACGCCAGAATGTACCGTTGTCAATCTGGACAGCAGGCTAGATGGTGAGAATGGTGACAGGGCCATAGCATAAATATGGAAAGAGGCCTCATCATTGTATCTGTGCCATTATGGCGTCTGTGACAGCATGGGCAGCACCATTGAGGCTATCTCCATTTTGAAGTAGTCCATTTACTTCTTCACGATTGGCTGAACCCTCATGATGACCCGGTTGCACATGACTCCAAAAGGGTCACCAGGAGGGATCAGCCAATGAAGTTGGAAGTCCCAACCAATGTTCCCTCTAAGCTGTGCATGGGCGTTCAGCTTCCCTCAGACTGCCACCAGAAGAAATATGAGCCCCAGCAGAGAGAAGCACGAGATTGAACTTCACTCAACTTTCTAGAGTTTTCCCCTTTAAACACTATCAACGTTTTGTTCTACTGTAGGAATTGTGATCGAATCAATGCAATATTAGCCACTTTCAATGTAATATACCGAAACAAAACGAACTATGCAAGATTTAGTATGCAAAACGAACTGTGCAAGAGATTTTCTTGTAGGCAGAGCGCATTGGAATAGGCTTCTATTGCATTGACAGGCACGACTCAGCCTGTACTCTACACAGACTGGTGGACCATAACCAATCAGAGCTGCAGTAGGCCTATATGCAAATAGCCATTGCCATATATGGATCTGTGCCATTCACTTTGAACTGGACTGTGTTTAGTTTACAGTGGTAGCGAGTAGATGCGCTTGTTTTGAGATCAAATGCATGTAGCTACTTGTGCACATTTGTTCATATTCTTTGCTAGTTAGTGAGTTATTAGCCCAGTTATAGCTAATTTCTAGTCAACAATAGGGAGTGGTTGCTTCCAACAAGAGCACAAAATGTGTGCATTTCTAGCCATCTTTAAAAGGGAAGTGTTGTATTTCGAGACGGTCGTGAATAAGCCAAGTAGCCAATAGGCAGAGGGTAGTATAATTTGTCTGATTCTCTGTAATGATGGTATGGGAATAATAATGAATCTTATTTTGTAAAGTCATTTCATGCATCAAACACAATATTTTCAGTCACCTCCTTGTCTGATGGACAAGTGAATAAACAGGTTAATGTCAAGCCCTGCATGTTTTTTTTTTTTTTTGAAGTCTTATGGAATGTAGACATTGAACACCGCACATTGGTTGCTACTGTAGGCTGAATGATAGAACAGCTATTTCCATGTTAAAATGTTATGGAATGCATAAAAAAAAAAGTATGGTAGGCCACTCTGGTAGGCCTACATTATGATCAAATAGTCACAGTAGCCACTGTTAAAACTGTAACTTAAAGAGGGTACAGCCTCAGTGTTCACAGTAAATGAGCGCCGAAAGTTTCACAGAATTTACACAATGTTCAAATTTGCGCTCAGCAGACCTGAAATTTGGTCAGTGCCTAAAAAAATTAGAGGGAACAGTGGTCCCAACCAGTTGACTATATTAAAATGGTGGAAGCCCTCAATGGCTCTGCCCATGCTAATACGGCCTTTTGGCCACTAGAGGCCTCTGTCATTTTCTATGGGCCGTAGCTACATATGAGGACACTGTGGTCTGGACGGACCTCTGGAATTGTTTCTAATTTGATTTTATATACAGTACCAGTCAAAAGTTTGGACACACCTACTCATTCAAAGGTTTTTCTTTATTATTACTATTTTCTACATTGTAGAATAATAGTGAATACATCAAAACTATGAAATAACACATATGGAATCATGTAGTAACCAAAAAAGTGTTAAACAAATCAAATTATATTTTTCAAAGTAGCCACCCTTTGCCTTGATGACAGCTTTGCACACTCTTGCCA